GTAACCCAACACGTTACAATATATTCATATATATTCATATTCATATATATAATGTGTCGTGTGTTAACACTGTGTACATCCGCATTTGTCTGAAAATGTTCTTCGTTATTTGTAATGAAGTTTATTCATTAATAAACTTCATTACAAATAATGAACATTTTCCTTTATTAATTAATATATATATATATATATTTAAATAAACTTCATTACAAATAACGAAGAACATTTTCAGACAAATGCGCATGTACACAGTGTTAACACAAGACACAAACACTGTCTTCATAAACCAATTGCTAACCCCTCATGCTTTCAGAAAAGCGCATATTATGCTGGGATCAATATTTTTAATAACCTGCCATCTGATCTCAAAGGTCTTATGAATGAAAAGGCATGATTTAAAATTATACTGAAACAATACTTAAAAACAAATTCATTCTACTCTGTTGATGAATACCTATTGTCTAGAGAATAAGTTACATATCTTTAAATAGCCTTGTGTGTAGTCACTGTCTATTCTTGGTTTCACTTGTGTGAGAACTCCATTGGGACTGTACATATGTTTTGTATTTATATGACATATTCCACATCCTGCAGTTATTTTGACTAACTTTGGATCCATGGAATGCAATGGAATGTTATGTTACAAGATTTTGTCAGATTATATTATGTGTGTGCAGAAACAAACATAAATGAAATATGTTGCAGTGCATACCAGCACTCTACTTATAATCTAATGGAGAATATTTATAGGGCTTTAAACAACAAATATATAGCGGGTGGAATTTTTTGTGATCTGAGTAAGGCTTTTGACCGAGTAAATCATGATATATTGCTATCAAAAATGGAATTTTATGGAATTGAAGGAGCTGCTCAGAAACTATCCTATTTGAGAGGAAGATACAAGAGAGTAATTTTGTATGAAAATGGGAGTAAATGTTGTTCTGAATGGAAAGAAATACAGTGCAGAGTGCCTCAGGGCTCTGTATTAGGCCCAGTGCTCTTTTTACTATATGTAAATGACTTACCAAAAATTATATCTGACCTATCCAAACCAATATTATTTGCAGACGATACAAGTATCCTTATCTTTGATAAGGATCCTGCAAAATTTAAAATTAGAACAAATAAATTATTTGAGATGATAAATGAATGGTTTAGGAAAAATGAGCTAGTAATAAATTATGAAAAAACTTATTTTCTACAGTTTAGAACTGAAAACAGTAAAAGTTAGTTCAAGTTAGTTATTTAAACAATCAGATTCCAAGTATTTCTAATATATCGTTTCTGGGATTAAAAATTGAAAATTTTTTAAAATGGGAAAGTCATATTGATGCAGTAATTGATAAGTTAAACAGATCCTGTGTTGCAGTCCAATCAGTTAAATCCTTTTTACCACTGGAGACATTAAAAATGATGTATTTTTCATATGTACATTCTATAATAACGTATGGATTAATATTCTGGGGTAACTCCCCGCATAGTATAAAAGTGTTTAGGATGCAGAAAAGGATACTTAGGATTATAACAAACACAACAAAGAGAACATCGTGTCGTAATTTGTTTCAGGAATTGGATATCCTCCCCCTACAAGCTCAATATATATTGTCGATTTCCCTGTTTGTTATAGTAAATAAGGAATTATTCACATTCAACTCACAAATGCATAATTGTAGTACCAGATCTATCTGTGATCTGCATTATCCGCAAACTAGTCTAACACAATTCCAAAAAGGAATATGTTACATGGGGGTAAAGATCTTTAATCATTTGCCACCAAAAATCAAATCTATGTCTAATGACTTGAAAAATTTTAAAATTCAGTTGACAACATTTTTATTGCAAAACTCTTTTTATACATGTGATGAATTCTTTAGTAACAAATTTGCCTAGAAATAAGGATAATAGCATAAACAATTTTAATGTTGCATAATTTTATGTATAGTGATGTAAGACTGTAAGACTGTTTTTTTTAATCTATCATAATGATTATAAGCTGTACATATATATTTATAATTGTACTGTACTATATTAACTATGTGACTGGTTCTATATCTATGTATATGGATTTATGGAATATACAATAAATGAATGAATGGTGGTAGCTGGACTGACTTTCTGCCCTTGGCTAGCTGATAGTGTGGTTTTTGTGTGCAGGGTTATGTGTGGTAGGAGAAAGTTTGCAGAATTGGATCTAACTTTGAGCATGTTACTACCTCCAAGTTTTAACCACTGAGCAGTGTACATCATGTGATGACCTCTAAACATCTTGTTAGATGTTTCCTTGCATTTCCTTGTATATTATGTTTCTTGATTGGTGAATGGAGTTGAAAATTTTTCTGGGTTTGTGCTTCATGTTTAAGTTAAAAGATGTAAAGTCCTTAATATAAAATGATTCATAGCACTGTCCAGTGTGATTGAGTTATAAAAGTTGTATTTCAATATGTCATTTTCCTTAACTTGTTTCAGTCAGTTTAACCATCTTCTGAAATGACACGATCAACATTCTGGAAACCACTATTACAATGTCATTGATATTTATAAGTTATCATAACTAAATTATTTACACAGTCAAGTATTTAAAAGTAAAGTTATAAAAACTTTTTGTTAAAACTAGAGCCAATGGTCTGTGCCTTGCAATTTCTTCTCACTAAAGGAAGAAGACTGTCTATCATGACGTGGTTTCGATGTCTGCAGAACAGGAAGTAGCAATTATGGTATGGGTATTATGCGGAGTTTATAAACCTAATTTTATGTGACAGTGAGTGTTTTATTTTAGTTCTGCATTTAGTGTTTTGGTCCCATTGTGCAGAGCACTTTGTGTTGTTGTACTAGTCTAAGGTATATAGTGTCGCATATTTATACCCCTTGTGTGTCATGCAGTATGTGGGCAAATGCTGACTCATCTTTTTAAAAATGTATGTGCTTTGTATCTCGTTAAATTCCTGCCGGTTTGGTCAGTGTACACTTTATGGCAGCTTGGCATGTTAATTATAAAGTCCACTTTGCTCATAAGAGTTCGTTTTTGCTTCTCCTTTAGTAGTTTGCCCATGGTGGAAGTTGTTTTATATGCTATCTTTATCTTTATGTTGGTGTTTTGATGAGTTTCATAACTTTCCTTATGTAATTTCCTGTGTAAGTGAAGGATATCCATCTTTTTTCTTTGGTTCTGTTTTCCAAATTATTCTTCCATAGTTCCTTGTTTTTGTTATTTTCTTTAAAGGGTAAGGTGAGGAGTTTGTGTGTCAAATTTTTATATGCTGCTAATTTTTGCTCTTTGGGATGGCATAAATTATTATTTATTGTGCTGTCTTTTGCTGTAGGTTTTCTGTATATTTATATTTCTAAATGTCCTTGTTTACTAGTTAGGTTTAAGTTTAGGTAAGCTATTTCGTTGTTCAAATCCCCATTTATTGTGAATTGTAAAGTCTTTATGCTGCGCATTAAATTGTTCTGATAGGCTTTGGGGGGGGTGCATTTTTGTCTGATTATATATTATGAAGATGTCATCTACATATCTGTTATAATAATATATGATTTTCCATCTTCCAACAAATGTTTTATTATATTTTGTTCTAGATCTTATAGAAAAATTTGAGCCATAGTACTTGATATGGGTGAACCCATGGCTACACCAGTTTTTGGTTTGTGATATTTGTCGTCTTACTGAAAATAGTTTTGATTCATGATCATCTTAAATATGGACATGATTTCTTTTAAAGTGCATTTATCCACTCAGTTGTTTTGAAGTAGCCCACCATATACTAAATAAACAACACCAATACGGACCTATGATAGCAATCATGGAAATGGTGCAATATGCTAAAAAAAAAAAAGGGGACCTAATGATCAAAAAAGAAAACTTCCACATTTATCACTTTGATATAGTTAAGAAACTAATAGAAGAGCAAAAACATAATAAGGAGAGCCGTAATCAGAACATATGTCAGACATCATAGTAAACATTGGTTCACGCCCACACATACTGCACAACACACAAGGGGTATAAATATGCGACACTATATACCTTAGACTACTACAACAACACAAAGTGCTCTGCACAATGGGACCACAACACTAAATGCAGGACTAAAATAAAAAACTCACTGTCACATAAAATTAGGTTTATAGGAACTCCACATAATACCCGTACTATAATTGCTACTTCCTGTTCTGCAGACACAGTCTTCTTCCTTTAGTGAGTAGAAATTGCAAGGCACAGACCATTGGCTCTAGTTTTAACAAAAAGTTTTTATAACTTTACTTTTAAGTACTTGACTGTGTAAATAATTTAGTTATGATAACTTAAAAATGTTCCAACCACTTCATGTACTTAAAGTAGTCACAAGGTATAACTTTTATATATTAATGACATTGTAATAGTGGTTTCCAAAATGTTGACTGTGTCCTTCAGAAGATGGTTAAACCGACTGAAACAAGTTGAAAAAATGAAATATTGAAATACAACTTTTATAACTCAATCACACTGGACAGTGCTGCGAGTCATTTTATACTATAGCTAGTGTGATGGATGAAGATTAAACCAGCCAAATGTAAAGTCCTTATTATGACAAAGAAACAGGAGAACATAGACTTAATATGAAGCATGAAATAGTGCGTCTTGTCTGTAGTTGCTGGTCTGTTGGAAAGTGAAGTAGGAAGATTATATGAATTGACTTCTTTGACATTTGATTTGTTTCATTCTGGTCTCACACACTAACAGTATTACAAATGATAAAACAATTCCATCCACTGTGACTGTTGAAGCTTTTACTACTTCACTTCTTAGCACCCTAACATGTTTCGGTCCCTATTGACCATCATCGGAGGGAACATCAATACAAGTAGTAAAAGCTTCAACAGTCACACTGGATGGAATTGTTTTGTCATTTGTAATATTGTTCTCTGACATTGTTCGTCACACTGAAGACAGACAATTGAAGTTCCATCACTTAAACATTAAACATTAATTTATGTTATATATTAAAAATTTCTCTCTCTAGTACCAGTGTCACAAGCCATGCACCAGAAAGAATGCCAACTGCAGGGAGGACCACACATGTCCGAAGCTGTGTTATGAGGAATGTGGTGATTGCAGCGTTCTAGTTGAAAAGATACTGCCTGACTGTGGGCACACTGAACGTATGTTATGCTATATGGATCCTGAAACATATTGTTGCATGAGAAAGTGCAGTAAGATGCTGCCGTGTGAACATCCATGTCGCAATGTTTGTTCTGCCCGTTGTGGAAATTGCCAAGTACAGGTGAGTAGAAGAGTTCTGCAAACAGTGACTGCCATACACTTAAGGTAACAGCATCAGCGCAAAAGACACATTAGAAAATAAACATAAAAACACACATAAAGAGATCGTAACTTTTCTACTCTCAGCGTGAATATCACATTACCATACGCGGTTTTGGAAGTTATGTTGCTTGACTGGTTCTGTGTGCTCTGAATTGATTTCGATGTTCTGATCGTGTTATTAGTAGAAGAGGCTATCAAAAATTTCTTTCTGAGCAGACATGAAGTTATGCATTTGTGATGCAGAATGTGCAACTGCTGCTGTCAATGCCTAGCCTGCTTTTGCTTCAGCGTTTCTGGACATCTTACTTCTTCTTTGCTGTGATGTGTTTGTCCACTCTGTTCATCGCCATACCATTAATAGAGCTAATTAAGTTTTATTTTAACATGAAGCTGAATTACTGATGTTCCCATCAGTGTTAATCTGGCAGTTATTTCATGTCCATTAACACCAAACGGAATGCACTGCAGGAAAATATTTGTATTTCAGCCATAAGAAAGGAGTGTAACATACAAGCTGTTTGATTCTTTGCTATAAGATATTTAAGTTCTCGAAAGCTTTGAACTAGTCACTTATATGTCCAGAAGAACCCTGTTCAGTTTATTTTGGTACACACTTATCTCACCCAGTCTCTGTTCTTGCCTGTCACTTCATTGGTGTGTGGTAGTACAATGAGAGACACTGTTCCCTTACCAGTGCCGTTGAGTGTTGCTTTTCAAGGACATAATCTTAAAGCATTGCTGGAAGTGCTACGTTGAGAATCCATTCTGTTTGACGTGTTCTTGACTGTACTTTCCTCAGGACATAACCGAAGCATTAGTAGATTTACTGCATTGAGAATCCAATCTGATAGGAATATTCTTCACCGACCTTTCTCTGAGAACATAATCAGTGCACTACAGGAAGTAATTGTTAATCATTGCATTGTGTTAGCACTGTCCTTGACTGACTCCTTCCTAGGACATACTTGAAACAGCTAGAAACATGGCTAGGCGTTTCCACTGTCCATGACTAGTTTCTTCCTGGGATGTCTAAAATTGTTTTATTGAGGATGACTTTGATTTGTTTGCATTGACCTGATTTGTGTAGTTCCTGATCCTAACAAAGGGGGATTTCTTTTTTCTAAGTATTAATTTTTAGTTACAATATCTCTGTCTACAGATACTGTGACTCTTATTGCTGCAGATTTTCAATTATCCAGATGCCAGAGAATAATATTTTTGGTTTAGGAAAAGTCTGTCACATAAAAAAAGTGGACTGTTTTGTTGTAGGAACACACATCCTAACTTCTCCGGGCTTTGCACTACCCTCGTTTAATATCACTGGTATGTGGATGAGCTGATTGAGCATTTACTGTTGGCAGTATTAATGCAATTACTTCCAAGTTAAAATGTGGTAGCTGCCCTGTAGCACTGGGAAATTTCAGGTCTCTTATTACAAGATTTGTAAGGCATGAAATTGTCAGTTAGGCTTACAGATACGCATGGAACTTTTTTAAATTGTGCACTAAGAAAATCGAAAGTTTTAGAGAAATAATAAGCATTTGTCATAAAGTCTGCAACTCTGTGGACTCTGTCTACATATTTAATAGAAATATTTTTTCAACCTGTATGAAAGCTTGTAATATCTAGGTTTACGTTGGATGAATATCTGCTTTAGGTTATAAAGCAGCTAGTGAGTTGTGGACATCCTCTTCAAGTGAAGTGCTGTGAACAGCCAGATCCAGATCAGTGCAAGAGTCCTTGCAAGAGGACCTTGCCTTGTGGCCACAAGTGCACTGCTGTTTGTTCTGATGCATGCACCAAGAAATGTCTGGAGTTGATTCCCAGTGCAGTGCGACCTTTGTGTGGACATCTGGTGTATATTCCCTGCCACATGCAAAAGGAATGTGAGTATTACAGATTTTATTGAGTATGTTTGCTCTTCAGATGTCTATATTTATATTTTATACTGTATTGAATAAAGTCAGATATTTGAGTGTTCTTTGATGTCCACGTTGCAGCTCGGTATCATCAGAACTTTTTAGTATCCCTTTCTTAAGGAAAAGCACCAGGCTTATGTAATCACCTGCAGTCATCAGTGATGTGGTGGATATATATGTACTAGTAAGGTAACAATGGCACTAGAACCGTTAATGTTGGGGCATGAAATTATGCACAAAAAATATACAACTTTTGTTAAGGTAATATTTTTTGCAGAATGTAGATCAGAGTGGTGGGGTACCATGCTTCAGTTAGCTCTCAGATTAACAGTGACAGTTTTTAAGTGGGTTACCTAAACTGACCCATGTACCATGATTGCTCTTGATCTGCTGTGCATTCTCTTCTGCTCCTGTGATTCAAATGGGGCAGAGTCCTGTGCTTAATGGGTCATTGGAATGGTTACTTGGTGCCATGGCCTGGGTTCCCAGGCAACAAAGTCTTTATTCAGCTGTAACCTCACAGTCACCCAGGATGTACAAAGCTGCTCCTCCTCTATTGTGACACTTTTTGTAGGTCCCAGTTTGAACGTGTTCTGCTGCGTGTGCTAGTGTCCTGCTGATGGCCCTGTTACTAGTTTCAGCTAGTACCTGTTCAGCTCCCATTTGCCTAAATATTTTAGAAAGTTCCTGTGGGAAATCCAGCACACATTTTTGCCAAGATATGGATTTCCAGTGTTTCTGGTGTTTTCATAAAGTTTTCATACTCAGTCTGTGGTGGCCAAATTAGCCATTCTTTTCAAGATGTTGCAGGCTAGTCCACATCACTCAAGTCACTACAAATATTACACATAATTAAGATCTTCAATCACCCTTTAAATCTTAACAGGTCTTATACGAACTTCCCGTTGCTGTTACTTAAACACACTCAAACACTCTCGAATACTCCCAAATACTGACATTTGTTTTGTATGTAACTGTCGTTATATAGCTTCTGCACTAACCATGCAAAAACAGCCTATATTGTTGGAACGTGTTTACCGAGGGATTGCATAGCAATGGTCGCGGCACAGACTCCACTGTTGCGTGATGTTACAGCCTAACATGGAGGGGTTGTTTACCGTTGCGTAGCAATGTGTTCGGTGGGTGTGTGACGTCACTCGCGGGACGCAGAGGTCACGTGACCCATACTTACTGTTGCTCAATCCCAGCGTTCATAGAGCTGTCACCTAGCAACGCGCTGATACAATCTGCAACTCTCCCATTGCGCTCATGCCCTGAGGCCTCTGTGACTCAACAGTTCCCGCATAGAGCAGATACACCACAATATATTTTGTTCCACATTTGGTGGATATTGCCCCATGTTTCCCTGCTAACATGACAAGTAAATTAACGTGGGTCTCGCATTTGGGGAATATGTTTATTGGACAGTCACTTTTACACTCACAAGTACAATTATTATCAACTTATAACATCCTTTAAACGTTTCCTCTTCACTCTTATAATTACTTGCACTGCTGATCTTGGTAAAGTGTCTTCTGTCCTTGTTGGATGTGAGCTTCTTTCTGCTCTAGTCAGAGTGACACTAAAAACTGACTGGTCTCATCGAAGCTGGGCTCTTATAACGTGCACTCAGACTGAATAGAGTGCACCACATAGGAGGCTTTGGTTTCACCCGCCATTAGGCTGCGAACGGCAGCGTAGTTGGTTGAGACACTATGCTACAAGCTGGAAGGTTGCGGGATCGAATCCCAATGAGGTAATTCTCTTTTTCTCTCTCTTTGTTTTCCAATTTGCCTAATCCTTCCAGCTGCACTGATCGAATGCTGATGAGGTCATTGTTTTTTGTTTTTTGTTTTTTTCAATTTACATAATACTTCCAGCCGCACCCCGCCCAGGGGTCGACTCAGCCTCTTAGCAGAAATGAGTACCAGGAATATCCTTAGAATATTCTTGGGGGTAATGGGCGGCTGGTGTGTAGGGCTGACAACCTTACTGCCATCTGTGAGCCGATTGTCTGGAAAATGTGGGAACCTCAATATCTCACAACCCTATGGGCCTCCAAGGCCTGTTACAGGGATACCTATACTTACTTTTTTATTCATTTATTGTATAAAATACTCATTTGCATCATCTCGTTAATGGCATCTAGTAATCTTGGAAGGCTGCAGTAAATTTGAAGTTCACCTTCATTATTTCTTAATTTTTAGATTTTTTCCAAGTAAGATTTGCTTTATTAGTATTTAGAAAAAGAAAATGTGTATGTGTGTAATAAATAAATATGCATTATTTGAGGTCAACATTTGAGAAGCCCGGCACAGCTGTAACAGTTTCATATGCCGCTCACCATACATTTCACTTGGGATATCTTGATTGTTTTGGAGATAAACGCGTTCTCTCTATGCAGCAGAAGCAGTTGATTACCATGATTAAGCATATTCAGGTTTGAACTTGCCAAATTTTCCATTAATTTCCCTTCTCTTGGACTGGTACCACTGCTCCTCAATCTCGTATGGTGCATGTTGACACCACATACAGTCTCACTTCTGTAGTAGTTGATAACACCCCTCATCTCCTTGGTTGGTGCTGCTTTGTCCAAGCATAAGGAAAGCTTTCTGAAGCAATGAAAAGTTCTTTTTGGCTTCTTCCACTTGCATATATTATCCTTATCATTGTCACATCCCTAGAACAAAGGTGAAACAAGACATTAGTATATGATTCCTAACCTAAATATAGGATCTTGAATTACCGTGAGGTTCACCACATAATATTGTTGACCCAGAGCTTGTTTGTCCTCATATTTGGCCCTCTGGAACCTGGATTCCATACTTTTCGCAAGGCAAGATTTGGCCAGAACTGATGCATCTCCTTGCTGTAGTGTAAAACGTGTAAGTTCTCATAACTTTGAACAAATTGCGTGTTTTGTACCCTCTTGTCTCTGTCATTAATTAGGAGGAATTTGTTTCTGCCCCCTCCCCTATTTGTCTTCAGTCAGGTGCCAGTCTGCGGCAGGACACTTTGCTCGACTTTCAGATCTGGCTCCTCATCCAGTACTCATCATTTCTCTGTTTGGAGTGCTGGATGTTGAATCTTTATACATTTTAATGGTTCTACAGTATGTTCAGCCTTTTTGTTTCTGGTCCTGAGAGCTGTCTCAACAGGTTTTGGAACATTACTGCCATCCGCTGTTTTCTGCATGGCTGCTTACCTGAAGCTGCGACCATATGTGGCTGTTGGTGGCCACACATCTGTGAGAGCACTTACCTCCATCCAGCTTGTGAGGTGCATTTCTTCCTCTTTTGGTGTTCCACTTAACTCAAATCTCTGCCGGGATGATTTCTGATTGCCCTCAATTATCTTATTAAAATAATAATCCTTCGTATTGATCCCAAGGTCTGTCAGAGGCCCTGGGTGTATTATGAGAGTTGACCTCAGAGAGCCAAAATTCCTTCGTCTGTGGTCATGTTAAACCTCCTGTCTGATGGCTGTCCTTGCATACTTTCAGCTTTGAACCCCTGGCACCAGGTAGGCCCTCCTAGCTTCCTGGCACTCACAAGGAGTCTGGTCTTTGCCAATTGAAGGCTCCCTGCTTTGGAGGCTATCTTTCCACAGACTTGATAGTACAGCTGACTAATTTCTTTCTCTTCTTGCAGTGTTCATGCAGTCAGCAGTCAGTAGTTCTATCCTGGGACATACTTTATGGTACCATCACAGTAAATCAGGGTTTTTTTGTTTTTTTTTTTTTTTTTTTTTTTTNAGGGCTCATGACCATAATTTTGTTCTAAGACTTTTCTGTGGTTTGTAATGGGGTTTCTTCAACTGGAGGAATTGTCTGACCACTATCAATTACTCCCACTCTGTTGTGGGGTACTCGAGTGGGCACTCGCTCATGAACTGGCTCTATATCTCTACCCCTCTCCCCCCACTCTCTTTCTCCCTTCCACTTTCTCTCTCTTTGACCCACCCACGCACGCACAAAAACTCTGATATAGCATTGTAGCGGGCCAAACAGAATACACTGCTTCTATTGTTGGGTGAGATTGCATCCACACAGACCTCATAGAAAACACCATTCCTAGCAATACTCCTGTTGGTTACTTTGAGTGGTGTGACATATTCCATTGTTACATTGCTGTTTATGGTGCTGGACCAGTAACGGACGTCTGTTATGATTAAACTATTCCGACTTTCGGCGAACATGGCACAGTGTATATGTTTGTTTCTAATTTCCATTTCATTGAAGAAACCAAACTTCTTGTTTTATGCACCCATTGACATTTGAGTTATTTAATATTTTAACCATTTCAGAAACCACGAGATTGGAGAATTGTTACTTCACCGATATAGCGATTTATTTTCTTTCACTGGACTGATGCAGAATATTTGTTTGTAGCAAACTTCCATCAGCTGAATTTTTGTGATAGAAGATTATTTATGTTTCCATGATATGCATTGGAATCTCCTCTTTATGTTCCTCAGTTTGACGTTTTCTCCACATTAGCATTCATTTTCAGTGATCCGAAGTCGGTCAGTAATCTGAATGTTAAATTTCCTTTATTTAATAATACTATGGGTGGTTCAGTGTTGAAAAGTAGCACTTCCCTGGAAACCTAAAAGGGGAGTTTGCTGTACATTTCTTTACTTGGCAGCGAACTGTCTCTAAGCTGGGTTGTGTTCTGTCCTAGTGTTGACTCCAGATTCTCAAGAACTGCTCTCCCGATGCCAGATGCCATGTGGTGTCTTACTCAATTGTAATCATCGATGCGTAGGGACGTGCAGAGGATGTATGCAAGGGCGTATACACGAGGCCTGCAAGGAGAAGTGTGGAAGAATACTGGTCTGTGGACACAGGTAGACTTGGAAGATGAGAGATTACGTTGGCTTGGAGGTGGCTGCAGCTGTATTGAATAAGCTATAAAAGAATGGTCCTCCAATTTGGGGGTGGGACAGGGAACTAAAACCCCTCCACCATAATAATGTTACACAAGGCCCCTGGCTTGCATGGAATAACCTAAGCAACAGGAAATGGGAATGAGATTCAGAATTTTGAATGCAAGGAGCTGCTTATAGGTTGGGTTTATTGAACACCATAGCAAAATAATTGTGATGTGTAAGTTGAATTTACTGGTACAGGCACGCCAGATGGGATAGAAGTGGTCTGAACCGGTACACAGCCCTTGTGAATATGGTAATGAGCCTTCATGTACTGTAAAAGATGCAGGAAACAAGTTTTTATAGTGTTCTGGCCTCTGGTATGTAGTATAATCTGGTAGGTTACTTAAATTTCTACCAGTCTTTATGGCATGACAACCCAGAAGGCGGTGCTCTTCATAATCACTGCTGTGAGAACTTAAATTCGCAATCACATATTCATGTTTTCATTATCATTAATTTCCATTCAGTAGTTGTACGGCTGAAGGTACATCTTACCCATATCTCTCACCTCTGGGTGCAATTTGCAGAAGTTATGCCCAAGAAGTACGTTGTGCGTTCAAGTTCTAAGGTCTCCGATTTTTTTTCTCACACAATAATCATACAAAAAATTTGAAACTTCTGTCACTTTTCAACGTAATCTCCCTGCAGCCGTACACATTTTTCACAACGTCGACGCCATGATTCCATGGCCGCTGCGAACGCTTCTGTAGGAGTGTGTTTTGACCACTGGAAAATTGCTGATGCAATAGCGGATTGAAAAACGGCATCCATGTCTCATCCATTGTCACAGTTGATGAAAAGAAAGTCCCACTCATGCCTTCATCACGTGTCAACATCGCCTGGCAAATTTCCATGCGTGCAGCCTTGTGGTCATCCGTCAGAATTCGTGGCACCCACTTGGAGGACGCATTGCGCATTCGCAGGTCTTCATGCAGGATTATGTGCACAGATCCCACGGAAATGCCAACTTTGGAGGCAATGTTTTCCACACTCAATCAGCGATCCTCCAAAACAACTTTCTCAACTCGCTCGACCATGTTTTCAGACCGGTTGGTGCGAGGCCGAGATTGTTTTGGTTCGTTGTCACACGACGTTCGGCCTTCTTTGAAGTGTCGCACCCACGAACGCACATTTTTCACATTCATGACACCATCACCACATGTCTCACTCAACTGGCAATGAATTTCAATGGGTGTCGCACCACGCAAGTGGAGAAAACGAATGATTACTTGCTGTTCTTGTAACGAAAACGTCGCCATCTTAAGTATCAAAAAACACTTCTCACTCTCGCTGCTACCACTAGAGTTCTGTGTGCCGTAGAGTGCTGCCATCTCTGTCATGCATTCACAAAGAGTTCACACGTATTTTAAACTAAACCTCATGTGTCTATCTGCTCCCAGTCCTGAGAAAAAAAATCGGAGACTTTAGAACTTGAACGCCCCTCGTAGTGTATTTACAGTGAGGTACATATGCAGCTGGTACTTCCTTGAAAGTAAGAAATAAATAAGAAAACCAACTAAGAGATAATTTAGGGTATTTTGTTTGGAGGAAATATAATTTTGCTTAGTACATAATGAATCTGGTGACACTCTGTCGCATTATTGGTTGAGGCAGCAAGCTACAAGCCAGAAGGTTGCAGGTTCATTTCCTGATGAGTTCATTGGATTTTTCAATTGACATAATCCTTCCAGCCGCACTATGTCCCTGGAGTCAACTCAGCCTCTAACAGAAATGAGTACCAGGAATCTTCCGGGGGGCAAACAGCCAGTGGGTGTGTGAGGCTGACAACCTCCCCGCCATCTGTGAGCCGATTGTCTAGAAAATGTGGGAGCCTCAGCATCTCATGGCCTGTTACAAGGATAACTTTACCTTTACATAATAAATCTTAATTTACAGTGTGTGATTGGCATTGGTTGACAGGCTTCATTTTTATGACGATGCTGCACTTAATGTGATGATAAGTGAGTAAAAGCTAGAATAACGGAATGGAATATGAGAGATCTCTGAGGAACCACATGCCATTTCATCTGTCCATTGAACTTCATGTTGATGGATCACACTCGAAACGATCCATTTTTACAGAAATGAATTACATAATTTTTAGTGTACTTTCATCTTAAGGAAATAAATTAGGCACATGAGGTCAGTGTATTGTGTGCATCCCTCCTTTTTAACACTTTTGACTCTGGCATCATTAATACCACTGCTTCTTGCCACACCCAATATGTTTATCAAGGAACTGATGGTGGCAGTATTGCCATTGCAAACCTAAAAATCTGCAGTAAAAAACTCACCTACAATATCAACATGATTTTTAAACTGATTGATGGCCACAAGTTTGTAGTTTCATTTTTATGCGGTAGAGGTCACATTATTATATCACTGTGGTGTGGTGACTTCTGAAGTGAGTAGCTGCAGTTTTGTATTAGCGCTCCTGTTCTTACACGCATTTATCTCTGTTCTTTGCTTTGAACGTGTTGTAACATGTCCAAGGCTGGCCAAGGAGTTGCTGTACTGTTGATGCACCATGAGAAAACCAAACCTGTGGCAGTAATGGATTAAAATAATTTTGTGATTCATGTGGAAAAAATCAGATCAGTTGCTGGATTTTAGAAGAAAGTGTTCTCCCATCTCTTTGACTTTTGCCTTGTAAATGTCAGTACTGTACACTCAGGGAAAAGTAAAGAGAATTTTAGGCTTTGTAAATTTTTTGTCATGGCGTAGTGCATCCTCCAGATATGGAGTGTAGGTATGAACATGTTGAATAAGCAGTCGCGGACAGCCGATAAGGACTGGCCCTCCAGCTTGGGGGTTGGGTATGGGGCTGATATTTCCTCCCCATGAAAAATACATGTTTCCAAATGTAACACAACATCGGATTGGAACAAATTTGTTGCAGTGACCCAAGCTGAGGAAAATGGATGGAAAGTAAAGATTCTGTATAGGGCAGGGTCACTGGTAGTAGTCACAGGAGAAATAATAGCAAACAGTAAGTTATAGTGGGAGTACAGGAGGAGAAATGGGACGAGGGTGGCACTGAACAGTCAGGTTGTCCCCCCCCCCCTCATAAGAGTCATGATCTCCATTAAGAGGGTAGAGTTTGTTAGTGATAGGATGTTGCATACAATACAAAGAGGTCACTGGTGTGCTGCTGTTCTGAATGTTCATGCCCTAACAGAGGGCGAAACTGGTGGTGGGGAAGGGAGCTTCTGAGAGGAGGTACAACGTGTATTTGACACATTCCCTAAGTACCACATGAACATTTTACTATGACATTTCACTGCTGAAGTAGGTAGAGAAGATATTTTCAAAGCAGCAGTTCGGAATGAGGGTTTACATGACATCAGTAATGGTAACGGAATTAGAGTAATAAACTTTGCCACATTCAAAAATATAATTGTGAAGAGTACAATGGACATTACTGATGGGAAAGACACACTCAGATGGTCCACATTTTAATTAACAGCAGATGGTACTCAAGTGTACTTGATGTCCGATCTTTCAGGGGAGCAGACCTGTGATGCTAATCACTTTCTGGTTGTTGCGAAAGTAAAGGCACAACACAAAAATATAGAGGTTAATCTGAAGAAACTAAATGAGGTAGAGGATAAAGAATAGTAGCAGATTAAAATCTCCTACAGGGCTGCAGCTTTGGGAAACTTAGATGATGATGTGGATATTGTCACATTTTGGGTATGTAACGCGACAGATAACTTCACGCTGTTTTGGATCTAGCAAATTTATTCCACATTTGCTCTTACACTTACACAATTTACAATTTCACAACTGCCATCTGCAGTATCATAATTACTTCTCCTGCTGTAGTGACTTCCATGCACTCGATACAACTCAACTCGTAGCTGCTGGACATCAACTCATACTGAGTATTAGTAACTCTCTAGTAACTCAATTCTCACTACTACACCACTCCTGAATAGTGTTCGCTGCTCCTTATTTAGGCTCGGCACTGACAATATAGAGAACACATTGCTGCTCAGCAACAGATATCAGGTATTGGTGTCATGTGTTTCTACCTACGCATTGCCTAGCAATAGTTGCTGCATGGACTTGCCTGTTGCGTGATGTCAGAGCCTAGCGGGGAGTGGTGTTTACCGAGCATTGCGTAATGATGGGAGGAGTGGGGGTACGTGACGTCACTCGTGGAAACGCAGAGTTTCATTGACCCCTACTTCCTGTTGCGCCATCCACGTTACACTATTATTAGAGCTTGGGAAACCATGAGAGAGAATATCAGAATTTAATCCAAAGAATTGAAGACACATAATCTATGGTTCAGCAAAGGCCGTTCAGAGCTAGATGAAAGGAAACAAGTCACATGGCAAAGGATGCAGGATGGGGGATAATCTGTAATAAGACATGAAGCCAGTGGGATTTTCAGTAATAAAATGATAGAATATCTGAAAGACAAAATTAATGAAATTGCAACACACAGTAAGAACAAGAACATTAGAGACTGGTACAGAGAAATAAATGAATTGAGAACAAATAAATAACTATTCCAAAGACAACATTAATGACAATGATTGTGGTTTTTTTGACATCATCCTTCATGAGTAATGTCCAAAACAAAAATTATATTAGATCTTATTGTAACAAATTTGATCGCATTGCCAGACAACAGCTCTGTAAACATGTCCAAACACACATAGTAGAGTCAGCTGTGTTTTCCATGTCCACAGTGACATCACACAGCGGTGGGTGGTGGTCACGTGACATGTTTTCTGTGATGCTTGTCCATTCCTCATATAAGTGACAGAATTTGTTTGGTTCAGGGACACAGTCATCAAGGACCATTGCTCAGACAGGGATGGTGGAAGAGTAAGACCAGGAATAAATCTGCAAGGGGAACACAGAAAGGGTGGAGGCTCAGAAGGAGACAGCTGGTGTTAGAAGTGGTATGGATTGGATCAGACTGATGAGATTATTGGATTTACGATTGCATCATGTACTTATGTCGTACATTATGGAGATGCAACAGCTGCTGGCCAACCATGAAAAGGCAGAGGCCAATAGAAAAGTCGATTGAGAAAAGAAATGAATGAAATCAAAGAGGATGTGAACGCCAAAATGGATGCCAATACTAAAGCAATGCAAGAAAGAATGGAGAGGCAGATGGGTTCTCTAGTCTCCATTATGGAGGCTGCCAGAAAAATCGACAGACAAAATGAAACAAGAAACGAGAGCCGGCCAAGAACACAGTAAGGAAATAATGGAAACAGAATTTGCTTCTCTAGCCACCAAACTGGATGGCTGGCAAGAAAGATGCAGGCCGACTGAGAAGTGGGCAAATCCTGAGGAAATGGAGTCCAAGGCTGAGCATCGAGAGGTCCCTAAGGAAGCTGCCATAGTGAAACTGGTCAAAGGACAGAAGAAGTGGCATAGGGGCCTGAAGCTAGCTGCAGGACAACGCAGAGAGCCAAAGGAACTGACCCGAGGAAATTGTGGATCCCAGAGAAAGTTGGCTGCTGCCTGCAGGAAGGTTCCCATCGTACAGCAGTGGCACAGTGCTGGAGAAGCGTCTTCAAGAAAATTCTAACCCAGAGAAATTGTGGAACGCAGAAGGAATTGGCCACAGCCAGCAGGGAGATGACCTGCTATGCAGATGTAGCACAATGCAAGGGACACAGGGTTCGATATAACACCCGAGAACCCTGAAGGGACGTACATCCAGGATAAAATGCTGGAAGGGCCCAGAATGCAAAATTTGAGTAAAGTATAGGCTCTGGTAACAACTTTATCACATTAAATTATTTATGCATGCATAGTTTAGTTTTTCCCAGAGCTTCTTGTTTCATATACCTGTGACAAATTCTATTTGTATGTTTTCCCTGTACCTCCATAAAACCTCCACCACAGGGTATCTGGGAATTTATATGGCATTTAATTGGTGCCAGTATGTGTTAACTATTGACCATTTGACCGATTTTTCACTAAATTTGGTATGAACATATGCCGACCCTATACCTATAACTTGTAAATGCAGCATGACAGGCATAGGTTGGAGTGATATTACTGCCATTTTATATAAGGTGCTAAAATTGTGTATGGCATCATTTCTACAGCTATGGGGCGTGGGCCCCAAGGGGTACACTGGTGAATAATTGTTTGAAAAAGTAATTGTATCCAAACACAGTTTTGTCAGGTCAGTAGGATTTAATGTAGGTGCTTTCAGAAGATACAGCTGCAGCTGACAGAGCATTTTGCAAATGTTTTCATGACAGTTTTAGGGGCTTGCAATATCCCAAAGGTTGAGAGTTCCAGATATATGGTAATATAGTTTGTAAAAGTATGCAGTTAAGCACAGGGACAGTTTCACTTTTTTCTTGGGTAACTTGGGACATGTTTGTTTATGTAGGTAAAATCTACAGTGTGTGATAGGTTTTAACTATTTCAGTTGCAACATACCATGTGCAGAGAGCTGTCCACCTTGCAACAGGAAATGCACCTATAGCTGCAGGCATTCAAAATGCTCCAGAACATGTGGACAGCCATGTATTCAGTGCAAGGTGAGAACCATTGTCTGTCTAATTTGTGCACCATATCTTCTGTTTGTCAATTTGTACATTATATAATTAAAATGCAGTAAAATAAGTTTACACTGGCTCAGAATAGGGTTCAATGTGAATTCCTTTTGAACTTAGTGCTTGAGCCTTCTGGTTCCACTAAGGGTTCTTAAGGTAGCTGAGTGTCTATAAGCTACTGATGAAGGACTATGCCCTTATGGAGTTAGGTAATGGGAGATTTGAGAAATGCACATAAATTATAGTGAGAAAAGCTTAATGTAGGAGGCTATTTAGAAGGTGTAGGCATAGCTGGGAGGATGATACTAAAATGAATCTTAAAATAGTAGGGTGTGAGGGTGTGGACTGGATTTGACTCATTGTAGGAACCAATCGAGATGGATCAGGGGTGCGAAAGAGACACTGGCCCCCTCCTCCTGTCTTGCTTACTCTTGTGATCACTAAGCTGGTTCATCCCAGTGAAGGGATCAACACAGATGGACCACGTGAGACAAGTGTAACATACAGTAAATGCCTATAGTTACAACTGAGTGTGACATTTGTGTTGTTCTCCTTGCTATACATTCAGTAAGTAGTGTTGTTTGGAGCCTATTGAACATGGGGCTAATACTTCAGGTAAAACCATGGGTAGGGATGGTTGACCAACAGAAATAAACCATTGTGTAGGCTGGAGGTTAGTATAACAGATTGAAGCCCAAAAACCAGTTCAGAATCCATAAAGTCAGAGGAAGACTTGGGAAACAGCACACATGTACACGGGGCCCAACTAGCCACAAAGTTGACACTTTGAAATGCAACTCTTTGATGCAGCAGCACGGATATCGCTGAGGGGTGGGTTAGAAGGGCAAAATGTTGGTAGGAGGAGAAAAAGAAAGCAACATGGTAATGAATCTCCAGGCTCCACAGAAGGTGGTGACCTTGACCAGCTGAATTTATTTTCTGTTATTTTCATGTCATTGGATGAGGTTACTGTCAGTTCTTAAGTTATGTATAACAATAAAATTAAGTGTTAATTTTATTTTTATAGAGACTTGTAGGTTTACAGGTTACTTCAGTAATGACTGGCAGGATTACAGCCAAATTTCCTTATGTCTTGCACTTTCTGTGGTGCATTTATTATGGTATGCTTCTCCTTATATGCAGTACTTGTAACATGAAACATGTATTTGATATTAACAATTACAGTTATCCCTTGCAAACAGCACATTTAAAATATTCATGGTTTTATATTTTTATCCAGTATTACTGAGTTTTGAGCCAGGATAGCATAGTCAGTATAGCAGCTAGCTACAGGCTGGACAATCTAGGGGTCAGAGTTCAAGTCCCAGCAAGGTCAAGAATTTTCTCTTTTTATGTCATTTAGACTGGCTTAGGGCCCACCCAGCCTCCTACCTAATGGGTATGGGATACTATTTCCACAGAGGTGAAGCAGCCGGGGCATGAAACTAACCATTTACCTCCAACTAGTGCCAAGGTGAAAATATGGATCTATATATCCATTCCTCCATACACTTTCATGGCATAGTGCTTAATTAGTTAAGCACAGGGACAACTTTACCTTTTTTATTATTATTGGGTTTTATGTACTGCCAGTTTTTGAATTGTGTCATGGTGGCTTCCACACAAAGAGATCCATATTTGCTTGGGGCAGGGCTGTAATGGCATCTGAAATTGGATGTTTAGCTACCAGATTACTATCTTGTGTGACACCTTATTAAACTCCTTGCATCCTTCCTGAGCTACCATAAAGAAAAATACAGAAGCTTTAATTGATGCCAGCAAGGTGGTTGATTAAGAAGTAAATGAAGAAAAAATTAAGTAAATACATGTTGCTGTTTCGTCACCAGAATATAGGGCAAAATCATGTCACAAAGATAGCTAATAGATCCCTTGAAAATGTGGCACAGTTCAAATGTTGGGAATGACAGTAACAAATCAAAATTGGGTTTGTGAGGAAATTAGAGGAGATTGAATTTTTGTAATGCTTGCTACCATTCACATCAGAACCTTTTGTCTTTTTGTGTGCTGTCTAAGAACATAAAAATTAGAATATACAAATTATAATTTTGCTTTGTTTCATTCTAGTCCGTCACACTGGACGGAATTAACCTTTTGTAATATAATTTTTGCCTGTGGTTTGATATGGGTGTGAAACTTTGTCCCTGTCATTAAGGGAGGAACACAGACTGGGAGTGATGAAGTGATGGGAGGCTAGAGAAAACTGCATGAGCTTCATGACTTGTGCTGTTTGCCAAGCATAATTAAAAAGATCAGGTGAGGGATGAGATGGGCAAGACATTAGCACACATTAAGAGAAGAGGATTGTGTACAAGTTTTTGGTGGTAAAACCAGACTAGACTTATGTTGGAGAGCAATATTAAAATGGATCTTAGAGAGATAAGGTGGGGTGGTATGGACTGAATTCATCTGGCTCAGGAAAGGGAGCAGTAGAGGTCTCTTGTTAACATGGTAATGACCCTTCAGGTTCATAAAATGTTTGGAAATTCTTGAGTAGCTGAGTGGCTGATGGTTTCTCAAGAAGGTCCCACCTCCATGGAATTATTTGGTCAAATTTATTTTTTAACACCATGGTCGCTGTAAACACCTGATGGGGTTTGAAATGAAATAGCTTTTCTAAGGGAAGTGGAAACTTTTATTAACACAGATATATTCCATTTCTGTCTCATGAACATTTGCTCCAGCTTGTTGAAACCACACTGAATTAAGGTGGAGAGGATTTAACTCATTTATGAGAAATTCTTCCAGCATGGCAGTATAGCACTCAGCATTGACTGTTACAGTTCGTCCCCCCTCACCATCAAAGATGCCGGGATCAGTAGTGTCACTTTGGCCCTCTGCACAGGGCATTGGTGGAATTCACAGGGGCTGTTTGAATCCCCAAAACCGCTAATTTTATTTATTCACATAACCTGACATGTGGAAGTGGGCCTTGTTTGATATCGATAATGAGTTCCCAGTGTTGTGATTGTTCACTAGGTCCAAGAATTCATTTTAACACTGAAGTCGGTTCCCAGCCATAGTACTGTGTTGCACTGACCTGGCTCTCCATCTCGACTAAACTCCAAAATCTGTACAACAAATGTTAGTATGGAAGTACCTTGTAGTGGGAAATGGTAATTACGTTTCAAAAGCTGTCAGGTACTTTTGGTACACTCTGTATGTTAATGACAAGTTTTGTGTTTCATGAAGGACCAGACAGCATAAGCATTGATGACTCCTGACACAAACCATGGGTCCCCTAATCTCAATTTCACATTATGCCTTTGTTTTCCTGACCAGGGATTGCTGTACTGATAATATTCTTTGGTATGAAATATACTTATATTCGTGCTTGTTACTCAGTAGTTAAGTCATAGAATGATGAACGTGAAGTTTTAGTGTATATGACGGGACTGATAACAATCAAGTGATGATATTTGCAGTTTCACATTTAGATTTTGGCCCTCTGGGTAATGGCAGTGTGTAGTCGTATAGGGGTTACCAGTGTTCATGCAGGATCCTGTTGCCTCCGTCCACAGCAGACTTCAACCCGGACACACCAGACAAGGCACACCATCAGTTGTTTAAGGACCGGTTTTACCATTAAAATAATTAGTAAGAAGATTATGTTTAAAAGTTCAATAGTTAAAATTCTGATCATTGTACTATTTTTAAAAATAATGCTGATGATGTATTTGTGAGTTGTTTTTATATATATATATATATATTTTTTT